TTTCTGATGAGATGCTCTCCTACAACTGCAGGGGTGACTTGTGTTTTCTCCAACATTCCTTTGATCTCTTCAACCAGAGGATGATGTCCTTCAATACCCAAATAATTAGAAGCCATAATCGGAAACGCCCTACCTCTGAGAAAGGACAAGTGAATGTGCATGTCCATGCGACCAGGGCGCAGCAACGCCGGGTCTATTTTCTCTTTGTGGTTAGTAGTGAATATTATAACCCACCCCTCTCCACCGCCTGAACTTAAACCATCGATGAAATTCAGCAAATTCGACAGACTAAACTTCCCACTACCCTCACCCCGCTCCTTCTCAATATCTGAATCTTGTTTTGGTTTTGATCGATCATGCACCTCTTTGTTGCAATCTATGTCTTCAATCACCAAGATGGAACTGCCAGATATATCCCTCATGGCTTCCATCAGGTCTGAATCAGAAGCAATACAAGATAAATCCAAATCATACACGTCGAATTTCAAGTGATTGGCAATGGCTGCAATGAGGCTAGATTTTCCTGTTCCCGGAGGTCCATACAGCAAGTACCCACGTTTCCAAGGCTTTCCCACCTTCTTGTAGAATTCCTTCCTCTTCAGGAACCGATCTACATCATCAACTACAGCTTGCTTCAACTCGGGATCCAAGGCCAGCGTGTCGAATGTGGCAGGATGAGATAACTCCCAGTCGGTCCATCCGTAACTCCTCCTGGAATGTATTTCCAGAATCCTCTTCTCACTTTTCATGGCCTCGTATGTTTTAAGGACGTGTGGGATATACCGATCCAACACTCTCTCTCTGTTCCTCTCGTCGAAGGTCAGTACAAAGGCTTGCTTCCAGGAATCGCGCGAGTTTTCGTCTGAATTCTCATCCAACTTCCAAGTGAACTTGGTGCCTTCAAACTCGTCCACCACCTCTTGGCTTGGATCCACTGCGAGATTCAGGTGCTTTTCGTTTTCTCGTTTACCAACTTTGAGTGATTTGTAGGTGCTGGTAATCCTGGTGGGGAGATACTCCTGCGCTGCAAGGAAAACTTCATTTCCATTATACCGATCGTGCCAGAATTCGTTGATTCGGAGAGATATTTGATTATTTGGTTGGCTATGGAAAAAGGCTTCTAGCTTTGAGACAAGAAAGGATCGAATTTGGTGGGGTATGAGATCATTGAATGCAGTTCTGAGGAGCATGGTGAATGTGGAGAACGTAGCGTACACCTCGAACCACGACGAAGCTGATGCAAACGAAGGAAGATGTTTGCGCATGTTGGATACCATGGTTAGGTAAACTTTAGGGAATACAAGAAAGAGAGGAACCAAGGATTGATGAAATTTGTGTAAAACTCAGTAGGTATTCATACTAATTTCAATTCTTGCACCTCAAGTTTTGATTTTGTCTTTTACTACATTATTACTCCGCGTAGCCGTTTCTCTTAATTTTCTTTGTAATTAATGTTAAAGTATTATTAATATTATTTTTAGAAATATGCTCTTTCTTTGTATTTAAAGTATATATATATCGTCAAGGTTTCATTGCTCCATTAATATTTTTCTCTTTTCTTATAGTTATTTTTTCAATTTTTGTAACCTAATTCTATGAATGAAGCGTCTCGTTTAAAATAAATTATGAGAATATAAAGTAAGTTTACAAACTTATTTTACAAATAAGTTCCATCTCGAGTTTTATTATATGGAGATTAATTATCAAGTCCGTTGGAACTTCACGTTACTAACATGATAAAAAAATTAATTTTTGTTATTTATTAATGAATATAATAAAAACATTGTTTTTACTTATGTTTTAATTTTGAAAAACATATATCATTTTAAAGCTAAAACGAGTGATATTAATTACGTTTCTTTAATTTAGAAAATGAAATGGAGATGATCTTTTCATGCAAACAATCTAGGAATATAAATTGCCTTTACTGTTAATTGTTTATGATTAATTATAATAATGTCATGAGCTGTCAAAATGGGTTATAACTCACGGGGCCAACATGGCCTATAGATTCAAGTTGGGTTGAGTTTAAAAAAATTATATTTTTTTTTATGCAGGTCAGATTTTAACCCAACTCATTTAAACATGGCTCATGCGGGTTGAACCCGTGGTGGAC